TACATGTCCCATTCCGCAGGCTCAATAATGTGCCTTGAAAAAAACGTCACCATAAACAAACATGGACTCAGCAGGCAAAGCCGGTTAAAACATGACTATAATGAAGCAACATATCAAAGATAAACAAAACACACATAGTTAAAGTAAGTATTCTCTAAAATGCCCTAAGTATTGTTTGATAAAGACAGAAAATGCCTTTAGCAGCAAGTGATCTGCAAAATAAAGTAATGCTTGGCGGACATTTGTATACAGCCCAAGCAGTTGAGATTTGGAGAAGTAGTGTTGGGTGATGTTGTGCACACACACACACACACACACACACACACACATAAAGAACCAATGCATGAAGCGGGCATTCATCGACACACAGTGACATGATTAAAAGCATACAAAAGGCATTCACACACACTAAACCCTGGGAAATTATTTTCATACACAAATTTGCACACACACAGAAACACTCATGGGGGAAGCAGCAGGGTCATGTGCTCCTATCATGCTAACTCAATTACCCACAGAGCAGCATGAAACAGAAAGTGAACTATCAGGCTGATCTACTTACAAAAGAAGATGCAATGAGAAGCCCAGATAAAGGGACACAGACAGCAACAATGTATGTCTGGAAGTAATGTCATTTAGAGAAAATATCTGCATGTATTCTGTTGGATCTTATGTCTGCTCTTTTAGTGTTACGGTGCGTCTGATGTGGTTATGGCACTCCAGTAATACGGAATTGGCAATTCATTGTAATTACTTAATGTTTCCTGCGCAATTACAGAACATCCCATGATCTCCCTCCCACACACAAATACTTTGCATCAGAAAGGCAACATGTAACCACTGAGGTTTCATCACAAACAAAACCCCTCCAGTATCTGAAGTAGGACCACAAATGAAAGTGTCCCAAATCTGATTTGAAAAAAATCACATTACTTATGACATGTGCTGTTTAAACTCAATCTGAGTAACATATGCAAAAGTATCAGATATAGGTCACTTTTGCCTGCAGTGTAAATGTAGTTAACAACACAGTAGCAGATTTGTCAAGTGTCAAGACCAGCCTTGCCCACCAGGACAGTCACAGTTAGCACCAAACTACTGCCTGCATGGAAACTGTGAGAGGCCAGTATGCAGACAACCTGAACAACACCCACAGCCACAGAGCTTACCAGACAAATTTCATCAATGAGGGTGTGTTTCAGTGGTTGCCTCGGCAAAAGTCAACAGAGTGTATCAACATTAATACTGTAATCCAAGTCAATGGTGTCAGAGCAGTAAGTTTCAAAGTTATGGATGGAGCAAGAAAAGTTGACTGAAATAACCAAAAATATTGTATAACATTAGAACATGAAGAGATTTGAATTCATGACCATGTGTGAAAACGTACACCTTTGAGGTGATGCCTCTGACGGTATAATAAAGGTAATAATGATGAAGGTGTGTGGCTCGTGCAACAGTCTAAGTCCATCTGCTTTGTCACTGCTGTTTACTTTTCATTGAGTTACACATGTAGGACTGCCCTTTATCTCAATTCACTGAATGATCTTTCAAACACTGACCAGACCTGTTCAATGGGTATTAAAGACAACAATAACAACGTTAGGGTTAGGCAGAGGCTGATCCCGGAAACACATCTGTACAAAAGTATTCATCAAGAGCATCGATCAAGCATCACACATCATGTTACATGTAACCTCAGCTCGTCCTAAAATGTGAATGAGATTGATTCACACAGCACCAAAGAGAGAAGTCTGACCTCTTTGAAAACAAGAACTGAAAGTACTCTAATGCTTTAAGGGTCTTTATTTTTGGTGACTTCCTGCCACCTAAATAACTTCACCTAAGGCCTGATGCTAAAACCAAGTTATTTGCATAGTTAAATATATTGGTCTCGTATGTTTCGTGTATTTGCAACAGATTTAAATATACGACTATCCCTATGAATAAAGTATGCTGTTCTAACAGCCTGTTTACATACTGTACACGGAAGCAACACAACAACAAACATACCAGAAATAGACTTTTCCTTTTGATAAAATCTAACGAATAATGTGATTAATTCCAAACAAGCTGGTTATTGTTCTGGCTGGCTACAGTATGTACACTTAGCATGAAGAAGGTCCTTCATGACAAAGAAAACAAAACCTACAACAAAAGCCCACTTTGGTTTGGTGCCAGCGTAAAGTTTGGCCTACATTAGAAAAGCACCTGTTGATTCCTGTTGGTTTAAACAGCAGCAAACCACCAGCCAGTCTACATTTGTGCAGAAGATCACGCTGGAAACTATTATTTATCAGTTATCACAAAAAAACAGGTGAAAATCACTATTTCCAGTTTCTGTTATTCCTTTGTTAAATTAGAATAATTGAAAACATTGATAAGCCTAAATATATTTGAGGAGCTGAAACCCCTCCGTTTAAAAACAAAGTCCTTACCATGAAAATGTATTTACTCAATTATCAGAGTTGCTAACTACTCTTGTGATGATGGAATAAGTGATGAACTGATTTACCAGTGAAGTTCTACAAAAACTATTAAAAAAATGTTTTTACCTTTAACCATATCCATCTTGAGCATTTCAATATTAAGGAAATACCCAAATAATTTACAACTCCTTGAAATATCATTGAAACAGACTATCATTTTCAAACTGCAGCACTGCTTCTCTTATTTTCTAGCTTCTAGCCTTATTGAGTTAAGCAAGTGTAAAAGATACATCTCAACACTTATTGTTTTTTTTTCTCACAGTTATGGAGATCCCCCCTGTGGTGCATTATCATTTTTGATTCAACATCATATTGAGATATCAAATTATTGGGGCGCCAGTTGTCTAGTGTTGAGTTTGCGCGTCCCAAGTACAGAAGCCACAGTCTTCAAAGCAGGCGGCCTGGGTTCTAGTTCGACCTGTGGCTCCTTTGCTGCATATTATTCCCCCCTCTCGCTTTCTCTCATTTCTGTCTCTGTAATTAAAAGGCATACAAAGCTCAAAACAAAAGACATCATATTAATACACTATACCAGATGTCCCCCTAAATTTGGGGGCGATATAATAGTTGTGACTTTGAAAAAATATCTTCTATTTGTAAAAGCTGAGTTTAAGTCCTGTTATGTTTTGTCCTCTCAAAAAGACTGTCACTATGGCAAAGTAAAACAACATCATTGATTTCACCTTGCCCTGCTTTAGACATGCGATGTGACAGTGACTTCTTGGGTTTCTACTTAAGGCTGACAGCAAAAGACACAGTCTGAAATTATGATGTCATCCAGACACTCAAAACTTGGAGGGGATCCAAACTGTGGGGGGGGGGGGGGATGCTGGGACACCACAGCAGCTACTGAGATGCTACTTAAGCATAGGTACATTTTAATCAAAACTACTCCATAAGCCCTCCAGTCAAAAATGAAAACAAAAAAAACCTTTTCACGAATCACACTTTCTTAAATGCAGCTATACCAAAAGGGTCACCTGATTACATCAATTATGCAGATGTTGGAGCTCTCATTTCTATCTTGTCAGTGCTTCTCTCACAATATATTATTCTGTGTTGTGTTGGCTGTTCTCTTTAATCACAGTAAAAACTGTAAATGCTGCTCTGTGTCTTCAGGCCTGGATGGAGCACATCACAGTCTCCCTCAAAACCAGCAGTGTGCTAAATCAGTGAAGCAGATCTTCTCATTAAAAGCTGTTTTAAGGACATGTAATGGGTCAATTACAATGGCTTGGGGTTTTCCGTCTTAAAACGCCAATCTGAGTGGGAAAACACAAATACAAAGCAGACTTGTAAAGCGGATAGACTCCTTTCATAACAGCTAGCTCAGGCAAACAACACATAAGAAGACAGTCGAGGCAACAACAACAAAAAAAAGAGCTAGCGGCAAGCACAGTTATCGGTACAGTCTTTCCTTGTCGCTCTAATAATATCATAGTTTTGTCTCAAGAAAAACCTGCAAGGAATCGGGAGCCAGGACAGGTGAAAGTAAGCTAAACAGGAAGTACCTGTGTTCCAGCGAGCTAATGCTAAGTGTGGCTAATGCTAACCAGCTCGAAGTCCAAAACAGTTGGACCACTGTGGGAGCGGGCTCACAGCAACACCCCGCCCGGCTCCGTCCGGAGGAATATAACGACAGTGAAGAAGGAAAACAGCGTTTCCCTGCTCACTGCATGTAGAGAGGGTGCTATTATAAGCGCTGGTGTTGATGAAAGAGCTGTCAACTTACTTGTTTAAAGCGTTGTAGAGTTTCTTTCCAAGCTAGCTGTCAGAAGAGTTGTAGCGAAGATCGTATATGTTTGAGAGGATGAATCACTCGGGAGTTCAGTGACACGCTTTCCGGTTTGGAACGTTAGGGTAACATCACGCATGCGCAGTATTTAAAATTGTCTGGATTAAATCTTACGTTCAATTATAAAATTATGGTATTTTTAAGATATGTTACGTTAACATTTTAGTTCTGCTACATGTGTTTATACAAGTGACTAAATACATTTATTTTACCCTTAAAAAATAAAATATTCAAGTGTTTTTAGAACGTGCTATAGTTGGATATACATTCTCATTAGATAATTAAGTTTAGAAAATTTTAAAACTAGGAATGACCAGGATTTATGTTTCACAAAAAGGGCATTCTTTAGGAAAAAGGGAACACAAGCTCAATGATTAGTTTGTTCTCAAATTTGATTTCAGGGTATTGTAGGCGCTTGGTTGTTTTCCTCATGACAGCTATTAGCTGGAGGAATAGTAAGTTCATGCTTCCTGCTTACCCTTAATCCTTTGATTTAGATCAAATGAAAACATCTGGTAACTTTGTATATATAGAGTACTGTGTGTGTGTGTGTGTGTGTGTGTGTGTGTGTGTGTGTGTGTGTGTGTGTGTGTGTGTGTGTGCGCGTGTGTGGTGAATGTGTGTGCAGTGTTGTAAATCATCACACAAAGATCCATTTCAAGCAGTTACAAATCTTTATTTGTCAAAAGTCAACACTGTCAAATTTTACTGTTTCTGTGTTTGTCAGATTTTTTTCTTATTTTCAAAGAATAATAGTTAAGCAAGTAATAAAATATATAGTTAATACAATACATGAATGATGACAATGAATCATTGTTTATGGTGGTGGACAATGACATGAAGAAAAGACTGGTTTTAATTCTCTGAATTCTCTTTTGAGATCCTAGCGAGACTTTTCAGGCCAGATGTCAAGAAAAAAAAATAAAACCTGTCATCCTCATTAGGCCAGTCTTTTGTACATTTCCAACAATTTTAAAATAATTCATTTAGAAGTCATCGATATTGTGATATATGGTTTGATGTTTCAGGATGTACAGTGTAACGGCGCTGCAGTTGACATTTACTCAACCTTAATAGAAAAGTAATTGAGAAATCAAAGGTGTAGCTGCTGATCACTGAATGTTAATTATGATGTTTGCCCTGCAAGAGATTGATAAGTTTTGTTGCCTGAATGATAACAATAAGCCCGTCACGAAGAACATATTGCAACATAATCAAACCACATCACTTTGTTTAAGGTCTCTTGCAATCCAGCTGCACACAGAAATATGAAGACAAATATCACAGAATATTATTGTTTATGGCAAGCAATGCTGCGTAAGTGTCATGTAGAAAAAGGGCTCTGTGAAACACTTTAATCACATTATTTAATCACATAAATGTGTAGTTACTTCTAAAAAAAATCAAATTAAATATCATGATTATTTGCATTTCAAAGATTCAACATGTGAGTAGCACAGGAGTATAGGAGAAGTGTGAAGATAAAGTAACACAAAGTCACACTCCGAGGTTCACATCCCAGGGTACATCACTTTTCATGAAAGACAAGATGGGAGTCATTTCTGTCTGGTTATTATTTACACATCAAACTTTTTGCATCAATGTCAAATAGAAGTTCACTCGGTTCACTTTAGAATACCAAAGTTGCATTCAAGGGCTCCGGTGCCCTGTTTCTTTCCCCAGGTTATAGGTTATACACCTTGATGGATAAAGTGGAGGTTCAGCATTGGATCTGGCAACCTCTGTCATTATATCTCAAAGGAGTATAAAAGCTACACAGTGAGACAAAAGCTGCTTACAGTTAATAGTTTTTGTTGCATAGACAAAACTCATGTCGTCCATCCTCCTCCTCCAAACTAAAACTTGCCTCCAGAGGTCCAGGAAACTGCACAGTAGATGTTGACTTTTCATTCTTTTTTCTGCCTTCTACTTTTTTCCCCTTGCTTCATATATAAGACATAACTCATCACACTCTTTTTTTTTCTTGTCTTTCTATTGGTTTTTAGGAACATGTGTAGCCAGAGAGAATCATCAATGATCTAAGATAGCCCTCAGTCAGTTAAGACTCAGTAACAGTCAACCGATTGTTTACAATTTTAAAAACTTACTCTTTATAATGGGCATATAACAACATTTCCTACAATTTTATCTACCCTCTATTACAGAATTACTATCTTAGTGAACAAAACTTGAGATTTTAAGGGTATAAAGTGAAGACCTATAGGTTTATAAGTGATCCCTGTTTGTCACACTCTTGAATTTCCAGTTTCACAGCAAATGATCATTGAAATCCACTAAAACCTTCCATTGATTTGTTAATGTTACCTCTACTAACATCTTTCTTCACTCAGCTCATCCTCACTCGCTGATGCAGTAGGTTTCCAAAGTATTTTTGTGTAAGTGAAAAAATGAGTGTCTCTGTGTGTAAGGGCGGTGTGGGGAGTTTACACCTCTGTGGTGATGGCTCGGGTGTTGGTGTAGAAATCAGGAGGTCTTCCTCTGTGGGTATCCCTCAGCAGGGTGCCTCGGACGGCAGGCAGCGGCATCGCCAGCGCCTGGTTGTCATAATGTGTGGGCATGTAGGTGATCCGCTCGCCTCCGTTACGCATCTCATCACTAGCCCGGATGTAGAAGGGTGAGTCATAAGGGGAGCAGGTGGGACAGTAAGGGCCTCGCCCTCCTGTGGGCTTGTTGAGGTCTGAGGTGGAGACAGGAAGCTCTGGTGGAGACATGGACAGCGGGGTGATGATCGGCCCGTCCAGGCCGGAGACACTGCAGGCGTTGCAGGCAAAGTGTTGCTGAGAGATGGAGGCGCTGTCAGACCCATTCTTTTTGCAGCAGTAGTACTACAGAGACAGAGAAGTGCATTACATTTCAAATATAAACATTTCAAAACACTTTTTATTAATACAATTCTACGTTTCACTCTCACAATCTGCAGTCTGCGGAATTCAATTCATTATTTAACGCACACACACACACACACACACACATACCTGGAGTCTACAGTAACAGAGCACAGCGATGATACACAGTAGTATCACAGTGGCCAGTATTCCTCCGGTTATGACAACAGTTCCAGCTGTCATCCGACCAGCTCTCCATCAAACTCTGACACAGAAGTAGGAAGTGACATCATTAGCAAGCATCAACAACATTCAACTGCACAATGAATTAAATCAAGTAGAGGTCACTATTACAGTAAACACATTTTAGATGAATTACTGTAATAGTGCAAACCCAAAAGGTCATCTTCTATAATCTACTGTGTGTGTAGATTATTGCACATAGAGCATGCAGAGTGTAAATACATTCAAATTAAAGTATGCATTATGACACTCAGCGCAGCTAAAACCTGTAAAGGTAGTGACAACTTTTAATCTTACATCATTTAACTGTAAAGAAAGAAAAAACACCTTTACACATTTTTTTATTAGTCTACACATGACATTGAAATGGAAAACAATAACACAAAAATAATGAAATAAATAATAAAATAATAAATAAAATAAAATAATAAAAAAACAATCTTTAATTAATTAATCCACAATATGCCATTTTTTTAAACAACAAACAAAATCAGAATAATTCTCCCTACTGGAATACTCACGTTCAGACAAGTTGCTTAAAACCTGAAGGAAGAGACAAAACAGAGGTAGTTAGAAATGACAGACAGACAGACAGACAAGCAGGCAGGCAGGCAGGCAGACAGACAGACAGACAGACAGATAGATAGATAGACAGATAGACAGATAGAGAGATAGACAGATAGATAGATAGATAGACAGATAGAGAGATAGATAGATAGACAGATAGATAGATAGACAGACAGACAGACAGACAGACAGACAGACAGACAGACAGACAGACAGATAGATAGATAGACAGATAGACAGATAGAGAGATAGACAGACAGATAGATAGATAGACAGATAGATAGACAGACAGATAGATAGACAGATAGATAGATAGATAGATAGATAGATAGACAGATAGATAGATAGACAGATAGATAGATAGACAGATAGACAGATAGATAGATAGATAGATAGACAGATAGAGAGATAGATAGATAGATAGATAGACAGATAGACAGATAGATAGACAGATAGACAGATAGATAGATAGACAGACAGACAGACAGACAGATAGATAGATAGATAGATAGACAGATAGACAGATAGACAGATAGAGAGATAGATAGACAGATAGACAGATAGATACTGTAGACTCACATAAGAGGAGTGTTTAAAGTTTGTAAGGTTGAAGACCATTCAAGTCAGAGGTCACACTGCTGGATAGCCAAACTGCATGAACAT